ATAAAAGGTGGGGTAACGCCACACTCTTTTTAACATATTAACTTCTATTAATTAAATTTATAAAAAAAAAATATTAAATTAAGAGTGAGTTTTTAAACAAGAAATGATACTTGTAAATTTTTGTATTTTCCGACAAATTTCAGCAATTAATAAAGAATGTATTATTGATGTAGCTCATTTAACGATCAAAACATGTTGAGTTCGATTCTCCTAAAATAAAAAATAAAAAAAGAGGTAAAAAAATTTAAATTTATACCTCAGTCTTATACATGATCTAAAAGACCAAAATTTGAGAAAATTATTCAAAATTTCATTGATGAACCTAAAGTCCTAATTATGGTGGTTAAAATATTTCCTCGAATTTTTCTTGTAAGACTTAATTACTTATTTTAATAAGATTTTACATTTAGATATATTTTATCCACCTTTTAATACATTGAGAAAGTTGAATAATTTAAGTTATAAGTATTAAATTTATCTTAAATTATGTATTTTTTTTCTCAAAATTATCTTTAATGATGATGAATAATTACTTCGTCAACTATTTATTGAATTAAAATAAACAATATTCATTAAAAACATTTTTAGTAAAAGAATAATCAACATTTTAGGTACTCTTGATTTAAATCTTATAAAAAATCGAAAAGAATATGTTACTAAATCTTAAATATGTTTTACATTTAACTTAATCTTATAAAATTATATTTACTTTCACTTATATATATATAATTTTGACCATCTCACTTATGAGATCTTGGACACGCATCTTCAAAAAAAAAAAACTAAAAATCTTAAATATAAAATTTGTGAGATTGAATTTATCTACATAGTTTGATAGTGGCTCCAATAGTTAGTGGTGTGATAAATTCTATAACATTGGTTAAAATAAAATTTTATACCATCTTAAAAGAAATAATTTAAACTTGAGTTAAAATTAGGTAATTTTATAAGTATTGTTGTTTATTTATAGGCTCTAATTTAGTCATTAACATAAAATATGTTATGAGATAATTTTGGCGATTATACAAAAGGCAAGGGATTACGTGTCCCAAACGAAAAGCAGGAAAAAAAGATATCAAGACACGTGTACGGCAAGAAGCGTGTAGCGAGGAATGAGAGTCTGAAGAAGGTACGGTAGTGGAGGAGATAGCGCCACGTGTCGAGGAAATGTTGAACTTGCTTTGAAGGTACGCTCACGGTGGTGGCGCCACGTAGCGAGAGGGAAACCCAAAACTCGAAAGAAAAAGACGACGTAACGGTGATACTATGTTTTAATCGAGCGCATGTGTAAGGCTCCCATTGGTTGGTGGTTGACAGAGTGACAGATTCGTGTCTTCTGGGAACTGATTTGATTGGACGAAAATGTTTTGTTTCTTAAAAAAATAAATTGGCAACTTTGAATATTGATAATGAAATGAATGGGAATTTTATTTTTTGTCAAAAGGAAATATTCCGAGTGAAGAATGAAAGATGGGCACGTTGTGTTGTGACTGTAGATGACAGTGACTCAACCTAACCCTATCGTACTCATACTCTCATAGTCCTTGTCAGACAGTGGCTCATCAACTTCATGGCTTCGGCTCTCTTTTTCCACTTTCCTCTCACTATATATAATAATAATAATAATAATAATACATTACATTAAATAAATTAACTTAATGCTTTCATATTATAAAAACTATTAAAATTATACACATCTAATGACTCTAACGTACAAGAATGTCTAACTTCTATACACTTAAGGGGTCGAAAGTAGCCTTATTTGTCATTCTCTCATTCTAAAGCAGGGGTGGGCACAAATCAAATTGAAAAACTTATGAATTCAAACCGAAAATTTCATACCATTAATTTAGATCTTATTGAAAAAAAATGTAAATCCAATAAATTTAAATCAAATTATTGATTTTGTGTAATAAATTCAATTCAATTTAATCTAATCGATCAATTATTATATATTATTTTTTTTATTTATTTGTTATAAATATTTTGAATTTATTAGTAACAAAAATTAGAATTCGGATTTAAAGGTCAAACAAACTTTAAATTTATTCTTAATATTATAATACTTTAATAAATTCCTCATAGTCTACACACAATTTTATAGTTTTATATTTTTATTCTTCTCAATTTATTAGGGTTAAAGTTTAAGTATAAGTATGCTAGGTTAAAAGCAATATGAATAATCTATTTAAACTAGTTTTAATTACTCCACTACATATAAGAATAATTAGAAAAAAAACATAAAAATGTATTGAAATCCTAAAAGATTCAATGTTTTTGAAATAAAACTAAAAAAGTTAAAATATCAAGACAAATAAAAAATTAAAATGGAGAGAGAATTATTTTATGAATTGGTCCTTATAAGTTTATCTCAATAGAAAAAATATATATTTGTGGAGAAAAAGGAAAAAATGTTAAGAAATCTTCTTTAAATAAGTTTATCTAAGTTGAATTAATGAAGTTCCAAACCGTGAATTCTAAATACACACGGTCTCAAATAAAAAATAGTTTTTTAGTAGACTAAAAATATTAACGACTTTCATATGTACACACTTAAGAATAACTTAATATTCTGATGAAAAAAATACTTGACATTACCTATAATTTCTATTAGATTAGGGGTATATTGAATTGGAATTTTAATAGATTCTTTTATTATAAAAAAATATTATAGTATTTAATTAAGATTTTTTAATAAAAATGTCATGCGATATTTAATTAAAATAATTAATTTTTTTTAAAAGTAAATCAAAATTTAATGGTATTCAATTAAGATTTTTTATGATTATGTCAAAATCTGGTGGTATTCTATTATTTTCTTAAAAAAAACTTACTTAAAAATTTTTAGCATTAAAAAATATAGAAATTTCAATGAATTATTTTTATGCATAAATTTCGTAAGACTTTTTAGTAAAATTTACACATAATTTATTTATCTAATAATCTCACTAAAATCATTGAAATTTCGCATGACTTTTTTTTTTTCTTCTTTTTTTTCCTCTCACTTCTTTTACTACTCTTTCTTTGTCCTTTCTCACTCTTCTTCTCTCTCATCTTCTCTTTTCTCCATCTTCTTTTAATAATCTTTTCTTTGTCAGGCTGCCTCATCCTTTTCTTTTATATAAAAATATATTTTTCATCTTTTATATTATTTATTAGTGTCAATTTAGTTTTACTTTAATTAATTAAATCAATTTAATCTCATATTTTTAAAATATATCTCAATATTTGATTTTTCATCCCTCCATTTAAATACTTAAGGGATGTGTTTACATGTCATGATATCATGACATGTGGCATGACACATGTCATGTTGTCATGACACATGTTATGACACATGTCATACTGTCATGATACATAGACACATTTGTTAAGTATTTTAACGGAGGGGACGGAAAATCAAACATTAAAATATATTTTAAAGATGTGGGATTAAATTAATCTAAATAATTAACGTGAAACTAAATTGAATCTAATAAATAATATAAAGGACGAAAAATATATTTTTCCTTTTTATTCTCTCTCTTCTAATGTCTTATCTATCGCATAAATATACAGAGAATTCTATGTAGAGAAATGTTACTTAAGAGAGTATAAAATTATAATTAATTATTTATCAAAAGATTGAAAATTTTATTAATTTTAATTTTTTTATTCAAATTTTGTCATTTCTACATGTAGAAAAAGTGTATTATTTTATAAAATAAAAAAAAGGTTCACATTGTCTCTTCAAATCTTATAAATTTTTTAAATACAAATCTATTAAAATCCTTATTATAAAAACTTGATTAAAAAAGTATTTTAAAAAATCTCAAAAATTATTACATTTTTACAAAATCTTTTTAAAAAATCTGGAAAAAAATATATTAAATTCTTACAAAATATTTTAAAATTTACAAAAAAATTTGTGTTAAAAAAATCTTATAAAATCTCAATTTAATATACCTCTAAATACATATTTGGATAAGCGTTCTTAGATTATGTATTTCAAAATTTTCACGACAAATGTCAAAAAGACGCAAGTTATAAAAAAATAAAAAAAAATAAAAAAATAGTTTTGACTAGACGCGGATTTATTTTTCCAAACCACACAACTCTTAAGAGTTTTATAGGACAAGTGATTTTTAAAACAAGGGTAGTTTATAGTATGCAAGGGTATTCATCACTAATTTAACTTAAAGAGCTTTATAACTTTAGTATACTAAAATTTAAAGATTAATACACATGCACCAATACCCTAATTTAAAATATTTATTTAATTTTCAATTTTATTTTCATGATTTACATACTGGATCAAAACCGCAGACATGATTACCTTACCTTCCACATTCTTGCCTTTGTTGAGGTTCTTTAAATTAAGTGAACAAAAAAGACCCACATGAATCATGCTAACTGCATAGGCTTCTCTTCAGCAATAAACAAAACTTGACTAACCGTCTAAACGCAGAAGATTACTTAAAGTAATACTAATAATCTAATGTAGTTACGAAAAATAATATCAATAATAATACTAAATTAATCCACAAGCAGCAGCAGTAATTATTAAACTAGTAATAAATTGAAATTTCATGAAGAACGTGATTCATAATACCGACACAACTTTCCAGTTCTAGGACAAAACCTTCAAGTTAAAAGAATGATGACAATGATAACGACTAAATGAATATCAAATTCTGCTTTCTCACTCACATAAATCATTAAAATTGCGATTAAACAAGAGAAATAATGAAGAGTACGCTGTAATGTGATCACACTATAATATATATCATTATATAAAAGCTATAATTGGACCACTAAGCAAGCCACAGAAGCCAAGCCAAGAAAAATGGCTCAAGCAAAAGTAGTGCACAAAGTTTATCTCAAAAGCTAGAGATAAAAAAATAGAAATAAGAATAAACGTCACTGAGATAGGAAAATAGGTAATATTCACAAGGTACAGGTGGAAGAACATTGTGTGTTAAGGTGTCAACAGGACCAAAGAGTTTGGATATAAAGCCAGCAATTGGGGACTTCACTCTGACCACCATGATAGGAACTCCAATAAGCAAAGGCCAATAGATACGTGCATATCACAAAACACACACACACTCCTCCAAAAAATCATCTATCACCTAACTCACCTATCCTCAAGTGAAAGTGTTATACAACATGGAATATACTTATTCAGCAGAGGCTGAAACTTACACAAGTAGCAGCACCACCCCTTCAACTGCCCTCAGAAAGAAGAAAAACAACAACAACAACAACAACAACAACAACAACAACAACACAAGAAGGTTCAGTGATGATCAAATCAAATCATTGGAGAACATGTTTGAGACTGAGTCAAGGCTTGAGCCTAGAAAGAAGCTGCAGCTTGCAAGAGAGCTTGGATTGCAGCCAAGACAGGTTGCTATATGGTTTCAGAACAAGAGAGCCAGGTGGAAGTCAAAGCAACTAGAGAGGGACTATACCATACTCCAAACCAATTATAACACCCTGGCCTCACGTTTTGAAGCTCTAAGGAAGGAAAAGCAAACATTACTAATACAGGTACTTACAATTACAATACAAATCAAGGTTGATTTTATACTGTTCTTCCATCAGAATTGGAATTTCGCATCTGGAATCTTTGTTAACCTTGATGTAAACATTTATTATGTCAAGGTGAAGTTCCAATTTTAATTGGAAAGCAACTTCAAAAGTATTAAGAAACTACATCTAAGTTGTTTCATACAAACCAATATAGAAATTCTATCCATTTTATATTATAAGGTGATTTAGTTTGGTATGTATTTTGAACAGTTGCAGTTTGGTATGTATTTTGAACAGTTGCAGAAGCTGAATCATCTAATGCAGAAGCCGTTGGAGCCAGGTGAGAAATGCACACAGGTTGAAGCAGCAAACAGCGTGGACAGTGAATCAGAATATGGGGGCACCATGAAATGTGAAGCTGAGGAAAAGCCAAGCCCTTCAATGGAAAGATCAGAACATGTGTTTGGTGTTCTGTCAGATGATGACACGAGCATAAAGGTGGAAAACTTTGGCCTAGAAGATGAACCTGGTCTTCTGAATTTTGCTGAGCATGCTGATGGTTCCTTGACTTCACCAGAAGATTGGGGTGCTTTTGAATCCAATGATCTCTTAGGCCAATCAACCAGTGATTACCAATGGTGGGACTTCTGGTCCTGAATGAAACAGAACAACCAAAATTTTGTGGAGGAATTAATGTATGTATGCATATGAATGCTTCATGTTTTGTTCCACATTGGATATTATGATTTTTCATGTTAACTTAGAAATAACTAGTCATAGATTCCACAGTTTTAAACGAAATTGGTGTGATTTTATCCAACACGAACCAAATCAATAAACAAGGTAACACCACCTAAGATAAACGCAGAGCTAAAGAAATTTTATACCAAAGATGTTTATATATATGTCTGGCTATGCGACATCATCAATTCCGCTAGTTTCTGTGGAAAACCAATTTGTTCGAGCAATTTAAGAACCAAAAATGAAAATCTCAAATCTAAAAAACAGATCTTATTAATAACTAGTTCACAGGTACATTGATACATGCTTATAAATTAGGAAACTGTATGTTGCGTTTTCTAATGGCAATTGGAACATAAATGTTCACACTAACAGTTATCCAACTTGAGGAGCCATCATGTGCCCCACTCCACATTATTATGGTGTGGACACAAACTATGAAATAACATTTAAATTAATATGAAAACAAGCTACTATAAGCAGGGAGTTTATTGCCTATATATGAATTTATTGTTCACATTGGTAAAGCACTTGTATATGAAAATCGACGACCAATGGCTATTCAAAATTTAAATAATATTCAAAAGAAGACCTAGATTATTCAATTACGTTGCAAATATAAATTTCATTGGCCCTGTGAAATTGCAGCAAGTTCTTCAATGCTGATCAATTGAGCTTCTCATTGTTATTGTAAGTTGGAGCTGAAACATAACAGATACGAGGCATCTGAAGAGTGAAAATGATTAGATTGGAAAAGAGAAAGATGAAACATATAGAAGGGCTTTTCTCATTAGATTGGAAATTAAGACTGTCAAAATGAGTCAAACATAACTTAATTTACTCTCTCGATCCCAAAAAAGTTTAGATGGGGTTGAATCTCGATTTGTCATTAGATTAGAAACTCCTACCTTGGTGGGTTGCATGTTGGATTTACCCATAAAAAATTGTAAAGAATAAAGAAATAAAAATAAAGTGTTTTTTTTCATCCATCAAATAAATAAAAATACAAAAAAAAAACTACCATTATATACATCAATCATATAAAACAAACACAACTCTTAAAAGTTTTTCTTTAAGAAAAGTGTTTTAAAAAATTCTTTTAACTTTTTCTTTAATTTGATTTTTATTTATTCTAATTATTTATTAATTAAATTTTAATGTTTAAAAAATTATCAATAAATAAAAATAATTTTGTACTATAATATAAATTAATCTAGGTCACCATGACTTTTTCCATTTTAAACCATTAGACCAATATTTCTCTTTTAGATTTTTCCAAGTGTTCTAAAATGTTACAAATAAATAAAATACTTCAACAAAATATAAAATATAAGAATTAAAAAAAATTATTTTCTAGGCTTAAATATTTTTCCTCTCAGCAATATATCAGTTTTTTTTTTTGTTTTTGGTCCCTAATTTTTTTTTCCTGTTGATACTTTTCATTGTTTTTACATATATAACGTGTCAAACACAAAATGACTAAAATTAACTTGAAACGGCGTCTATTTAATAGACACATCATGCAAAAATAGTATAAAAAAAAAAGTAATGGCAGAGACAAAAATAATTTACAAGAAAAAATTTATAAGGAGAAAAAATGAAAAAGAGATATATTAAAAGAAAAATAATGTTTAAGCCTAAAAAATAAAATTATTTTTATTTGTATATTTTATATTTTTCTAGAGTGTTTTAATTATTTTGTAATATTTAAGACACTTGACAAAAATGTAAAAGAGAAGCATTGATATAATGGTTAAGAATGAGAAAATCATGGTAGTTTTGATTCTCCAAAATTGCCTAATCTATTGTACAAAATAAAATACTAGTCAATTACAATGATACAATAATAATTATTCAAAATATTTCAATTTCAAATTAAAAAAAAATAAAAAAATTGACCTATCAAATCAACCAATTCATTATTGACTTGTTAAGTTGGTGGGTTACACTAGAGAGAGTTGGTATATTCAACCATGTAATTTAAATCAATACATTTAGAAGAGGTTAAACAACCTAACATGTTAACTTCAAGTTAGGGGTATTAATAAGGTGAGGTGCCAATTAGTAAGAACCTGCTGCTTGACCTGTCGAATAAATATCCGTTTTATATTGATACTCATATTTTGATAAATATCAATTAAATAAGTACTTGCATATTTTTTTTAAAAATATTCATGGTTATATACGAATATTCGTGGAAGTTTATTTTGGAAGAAATGAATACTTTTTTAAAAATATTTTAATAATAATTTTTATTTATTTTAATAATTTCTTTAAAAATAATAGTTTAAAAGTTAAAACTTAAATTATTCAAATATTATATATAATTTTATTAATTAAGATTTTTTAATTTAAAAATTAAACGTAATTGTTAAAGTACTTTTATTTTCATAAATTTAAATAAATTTAATATGTAATTATGTAATTGAATATTAGTGAATATATACATGCAACTATAGATATTGTGATAGTTGTATTCATATATTTACATGCAGGCATAAAATAATATTTATATTCATTACTCTCATTACTTACATATATTTACTTTTTATGCAACAAAAAAGGTAGAAATAAAAAAATTTTCTTTCTCTCCTTTATTTTTTATCCTTTATCCAGTATTATAAAAATCAGGTTGAACCATCCGTTTTTACTAATCGTGTTGGAATCGAAATGTTTTATAATAAGCTGTTTGAGAAGAAAAAAAGATCTTTAAGTGTTGATAACTTGAACATAAATTTTAAATGTTGATGATGCTATCTATATTTAAAACTTTTGAACTTATTTATGGATGTAATCTTTAATTTAATTGTTTATCATTTTTTTTACAGCAATTGCTTATGAACTTTATTATATGAACTTGATATATTTATGAATTTTATTATTATAAATTTTAATTTAATTTTGATTTTGGATATTGAATACTTTATAATGACAATATTTTTATATTTGAAATATGAAATTGCTATATTGTGACTTATAATTTTAAATTTGAAGTTTGGGCATGTGATATTTGTCATTTAGTATGTAAATAATTTTTTTAATGTATAGAATATCATAACTATCTTAACTAGTATTTTAATATGTACATTTTACAGTTGAATTTTATAATATATATATATATATATATATATATATAAAAC